GGCAGTGTATATTTATGTGTCAAGTATTTTGACATGTTAAGGTTATTGTGACATTGTATAAAACCTTTGAATAAGAAGACTAAGGAAGGAGCATATCAAAAATCTTAGGTACACCGCGATGGGCCTCAAATATGGCCGACTTAAATTCCGGTTTATCAGTGTCGTTCTAATTTTATTTAAAAAATGTAAAACTATGATGTAGGGTAGACGTGGGGTAGACTCAATAATTTGTTGTTTATTTTACGTTGTGAATAAATGTTGGTAGTTATTAAATTGTTATAAAATATATAATTCTAATAAAAATAGATAGATTTTATAAGTATTTATTAACACAAACATCCGATACGCTACTGAAGCAGGTAAGTCAAATTAACGTATCTAAATTCTTTGATATCTAATCTTTGACAAGTAATAAATAAAAGCTAAAATGCAAGAAAAATATATAATTTAGTTAATTTAAGTGAATTTCATAAATGATCGGTTTACTACACGTATATATATTATATAGTCACTTACTAGCGAAAAGTTGTTCCATTATTTCACTCAGTTTTTGCCGAGATCTACCGCACGCTACACAACCAACTATTTTAGAGTCTTTTTCGATAAATCGCGATAATGTCATTGTTAATTTAAGTTCTGCCACAATTTCCATCTAGATTTACTGCCTTTATACAACTATCAGTAGTAGAATAAATAATAAATAACATAAAATAAGCTCCGTAAAGACTGACAAATCCACAAAATTTCAAATCAAATTCAAATGTGTCAAATAAATCGTCAAACAGAACTGTCAAGGATCCACCACTAGAGAGCTTTTATGGTGGCTTTTCCGCCCACCATGCATGAATACATGGATAGCATTATGCTCCTTCCTTATTCAAAGTATAAAACAGTCTTCTTATTCAAAGTATAAAACAACTTTGCTTTTGACAAAGTCGCAAATAAATTTTTCAGAACGTCAGTATGACATGAGTAGAGAAATGCGAGACTGGTATCATAGAATATACTGCCCGAAATAATAAAAATATGTTTCAAATCGTATTCAATTTTATTGAAACCAACTAACTAACGGACTATAAGAAGAAAACTAAAAGCAGCAAATCTTATGTTAAGAAGACCTGCTTCGGGGCCAGAACTTATTAGATCTGGTGACTAGAACCAAAAGCAAAGGTGTGGTTTTAATGTAAAAATTACGAAAAAATGTTACTGTCTTCTTCAAAAGCGAATATATCCAACAAAAAAAAGCCAACGAGATGAACTGAAAAATAAACTATCGAAAAAGGATGTATCTAGATGATAAATTGCTTTTTAAATTTCTTGCTGTTTTAACATATTCCACAGGGTGTTTCAAACTTTCACCAAAATATCAACATTTTGTTTTTCCTCGTATAATTAACAGATGGGAAGTTTCATTTTTAATTTAGAAACAAATACTAAAAAGTCAGATAATTTGGTTACATACTGTTAAAAATCATCAAAATCGGCCAACTAGAACAAAATATATTAAACTTTAAAATACTTACGTCAAAGTTTTAAGGTGCCTATTTTTCGTGCCGGTGAATGTATTTCAAAAACTATACATTCATATACTTTTCTAATGAAACTCGCTTTTATTTTTTTATTAGAATCCGAAAATCAATTAATATATAGGGTGTTCCATTACAAAAAACAGAACTTTGATGTTTAACTTTGGGGACACCCTGTAGAACTCTATATAATTTTAGAAAATGCTCTAAATTGACTTACATAAGCTAAAATATGGTATCTTCCCAGACAGGCTGAAGTTGGCATTTATTAAACCAATCTACAAAAAAGGGGATCACTCCGATTTGAATAATTATAGACCAATTAGTTTACTGCCAAGCTTTTCAAAAGTATTTGAAACAATAGTTGCAAACAGAATATTAACTTTCATGAATAGTTGTAAACTGTTTCAGAATATACAACATGGGTATTTGAAGGAGAAAGGTACCATTACTGCATTGTTCGATTTCACTACATCAATAATACAACATCTGGAAAATAAAGATCTGGCAATGGGTATATTTCTTGATTTATCGAAAGCATATGACTCTTTAGACCACCATTTACTACTAATAAAACTCGAAAAATATGGAATAAGAGGTCCAGCACTCAAATGGATTACATCATACTTGACAAATAGAGAACAACAAGTTATTGTGAGAAAAGACGAAAAGATTAGTAAGTCCAGTATACAAAAATCGAATATTGGTATACCTCAAGGCAGTATCATTGGGCCACTACTTTTTATCATCTACTTAAACGATATTAGTCAAACAACAAGAAATGCAAATTTTAGCCTTACATGCTATGCAGATGACACTAATATACTTACTCACGGAACAACACAAGATATTCTGAAGGAGAATGGCAGCAAGGCTTTCATAAGAGTAGAGGAATGGTTTGATGCAAATAGACTAATGCTAAATAAAGAAAAAACTAATACACTAATTTTTCGAACACAACAGAAGAAAATTGAATTAGCGAGCAATTTGAAAATTGGAGAAATGGATGTCGCCTTGGTGGTGAATGCAGATTTCTTGGTATTTACATAGACGAGCATTTAAAGTGGACCCAACATATTTATAAGCTATGCTTGAGACTTGGCACAATTTCTTACAGTCTGAGAATTGTGTCAAGTTATGTGAACCGAGACTCAATGAAGACACTATACTGTGGGAATTTTGAGGCACTGCTGAGATATGGAATTATTCTCTGGGGATCAAATTCAGAAACTGCAAAAATTTTTGTGATTCAGAAAAGAATTATAAGACTTATAAAGCAACTTCAATACAGAGAAAGCTGTCGAGGACACTTTAAATCCTTCGGAATTATGACGCTTCCAGCTCTTTATATATATGAGTGTTTAATATTCATCTTCAAACATAAGTCCCTATTTGAAATGGAAAAATCTCATGAATACCAAACAAGATCCAGTGATGCCAAGTTCCCCTCACATCGTCTCACCTTGACTGAAAAAAATCCAGTATATATGTGTGTAAAGTGTTACAATAGCCTCCCTGAAGAAGACATAAGAGCAATCGAAAGTCAAGAAACCTATAAGAAATCATTGAAAAAACTCTTAATTGAATTGGAACCCTACTCAATCAATGAATTCTTAATATAAAAGTCTCTTCACCGCTGACAATATTTCAATATGTCTATATATTTGTAATTTTATTGTACATATTTAGATCATTTTTGAAATAAATATTTTTATTATTATTATTAAGCCCACGAAATTTCACTTCAATATAAACTTTTGTTCTCCTTGCAAAAACCGCGTCGTATATGACGCGCCACCCTGTATAATTCGATTTCAATCAAAATTTCAATGATTAGAATATAAGCAGAATTAGTATAGCTTATACATTAGAAAAAATTAAAAAAATCAAAAAATTAAGATGAAAATAACTAATAATTTACTAAAGCTACTAAAATGAAAAATTAAAAGCAACGAAACAAAAATGGGTAAACATTTTAGTATTTTATCTCTAAGACACAATACGGAAGGTTTCACATTAAAACATTCAAAGTAATTGAATTCCGAGGTAAAAGTTTCTGGGCACTCCACTAATACATACCTTAATATGAGTTTTATTAAAAAAATACAACACCTAGCCTAACCTACATTGTTACAAATACACTTATTCAATAATTAAATTGGTAAACCTTCGCCCCTTACATCCATTTATTTCATATCTCGTTTTCATTAGTGTTACATTATTACGGAAAACAAATTTAAATATCGCCAAAAAATTAAACATATTTAATGGTTGTTTTGAGGCTGGTATGAGCAGCTGATTAATATTTGCATATCTTAAATTTATTGCTAACTAAACGACCAAAATCAATAGGCTATTTCAATCATTGCTGATCGCTCCGTATATTTAACCCCCACATAACAACCCTCGTCAAGGTGCGAAACATAAATTCCTCTCCATTAAAGTCATTAGACCGTAAGTATTTCGGAAGTTAACAGTCGATTTATATCTAAATAACAGCCGCATCAGCATTTTAAAGTGGAGAACCGGACAAATAAGCTGGCAATATCCAGACATTCCAATTTTGTATCTTTCTGGGGTTTATGAAGTCGTAAACCGTTTTACGAGCGAACAGGACGCCCTTATTGAACTTTCATTTATAGAATAGATGCCCATTTGGTTTCTTTTGGATTATTTACAGTAAGGCAGTGTCTGGATATAGTAATAAAAGAAAACACTTGATATTTTATACTCACAGTACTTAAACAGCGTAAATTTGCAGTTAAGAGTGTTTACCAAAACTTCACCTTGACATGATATAGACAAATGTACTTTAAAAATTGATAAAACAGAATTTAGTGTGAGTTTTATGTCATTTTATTGGTTTATTTAAAAAATGACAGTTCATACTTATTTCATTATTCTTCACAATAACGAGGTGGCTTTGGATTATTGTTGTGTACGATTGAATATGGTTCTTATAGTGTCGAAGATTGTGCAAAAGTCATTAATCTTGTTGAAGATGACCAAAATTCTGTATATTCGCTTAGTCCATGAAGAAGCATGGGAAAACAGCACAATATATTTGCAACCTCATTAACAATTCGAACCGACCGACGCGACGTATACAGTTAAACAGTTAAAGCAGCGGGGGAGGTAATACAAAGTATTAGAGTATTCTTCAGTGTTTAAAGTTTTTCGTGTATTTGTACACTTGGTTATTACAGTTATTTTTTTAAGATCCTTTGTTCTGTTAGTGTTACTAATCTGTATTAAAAACAAGCCTGTATCGTTACTTTTTAACATTTTTTAAAATCTAATCACTGTCATCAACCAAACCTAACTCTTGACATTAAAAAATAACATTATAAGGTAACGAAGCAATCAAAACTAAATCTTAGCAAAAAAAAGTCCAAACAAAGAAATCTGTTAAAATTCTTTATAATATACTCTTGACTTAAATTTAACTTATTTCAATTAATTCAATTAACTTACCATGTAGATCCATGGCTTCGCATTTCCACACTTGCCCAAATGCACCTTCTCCCAGAATATTAAAAAACTTTAATCTGTGCCTAGGAAACTCCCACGGATCAGTATTTTTCACTGGAAATGAAGCTTCCGAAGATAACTAAAACAATGAAAAAGACAAAGGCTAAGAAAATTCCTTAAAAATGTAACTAACAATTTGCCTGAACTAATTATTTTTGGCCAATAAAAATATTTATTATTTAATATAAATATAAGATATTTTTAAATTTCTTATATTTTACATTTAATATATAGATTTATATGAGACAATATCTTACCTGATGATGTTCTTCGCCTTGACACATTTCATATCTGTTACTCAAGGCTCGAGGCCCTCTCCAATCATGCAAATGGATGCTTGGTTCTTCACTCACGGATATGGTCCCCGTAGATTCCTTTCTCTAAAATAAAAACCAACCGATTTAATTTTTGTCTTCAAAATATCAAAAAAGCAGTTTTATTTAATATTTTATAAAAATGGTTTAAAGAACAATTTTAACAAAAACTTTGTTTCAAAAGATAGTATTTATTATGTAATTCTTTTAGCGCACAAATAGGCACCTACCCCAGAATCCTTTAGGCAAATATCTACACAATCGAAAGATGCATACAATTTATCTTAGATAGGAACTATCGGAAACAAGAAATAGCCACCTTATTCGACACCTAAGCAGTCTTGAGAGCGATCAACTAAGTAACCATCAATTCAAAGTGGCTCACAGAATGGTTAGAGTATCTGAACAAATTAGGCAAAGAAAATAACATCCTTCTACTCTGGGTGCCACCAAGGCATAGAAAGCAATGGAAAACAAATGATCTAGCTAGAAAATGAGCGATCACTCCTCGAACTGCACCAGAATCGTTCTGCTTCTCAAGTGGAAACCAACCAAACCAAACTTAGAGCGGAACTCAACCTGGAAGACTCCATCGGTAACCTGGAATGTGAATCCTCCATCCTAAGACACTTGAAGAATTCTCCCAGGACTTTCAACCAAGAAACACCACAACCAAGGTTTTTGTCAAAGTCCTAAGATTGTATGATGAGTTACACAACAGATCAATAAAGTCACGAAAATTAACGTACCCCTCCCATACAATTTACAATGTATTTTTTATAAATGGTAATAAATAATTGAGGTATACACACAAATAGGCACCTACCCCAGAATCCTTTAGGAAGGAATAACTCAATATAGGGGGACACAACAGATCAATAAAGTCACGAAAATTAACGTACCCCTCCCATACAATTTACAATGTATTTTTTATAAATGGTAATAAATAATTGAGGTATACACACAAATAGGCACCTACCCCAGAATCCTTTAGGCAAATATCTACACTATCGAAGGATGCATACAATTTATCTTAGATAGGAACTATCGGAAACAAGAAATAGCCACCTTATTCGACACCTAAGCAGTCTTGAGAGCGATCAACTAAGTAACCATCAATTCAAAGTGGCTCACAGAATGCTTAGAGTATCTGAACAAATTAGGCAAAGAAAATAACATCCTTCTACTCTGGGTGCCACCAAGGCATAGAAAGCAATGGAAAACAAATGATCTAGCTAGAAAATGAGCGATCACTCCTCTAACTGCACCAGAATCGTTCTGCTTCTCAACTGAAAACCAACCAAACCAAACTTAGAGCGGAACTCAACCTGGAAGACTCCATCGGTAACCTGGAATGTGAATCCTCCATCCTAAGGCACTTGAAGAATTCTCCCAGGACTTTCAACCAAGAAACACCACAACCAAGGTTTTTGTCAAAGTCCTAAGACTGTATGATGAGTTATAACTCAACATAGGGGGACACAACAGATCTATAAAGTCACGAAAATTAACGTACCCCTCCCATACAATTTACAATGTATTTTTTATAAATTGGTAATAAAGAATTGAGGTATACAAAGGAAAATAATAAATATTAAGAAGTTAAAATAAGAGAAGAAAGTAAAATAAGAAAAAAATATTTGTGTTTTCAAAACTACCACATAATAGTTCTGTGATACATTTACCATTATAAATTCAAATTAGTACAAGTTTTAGATATAAAAATACCATATAAATTTATTTGATGCTCATATAAAGAACTATAACGATAGAAAGGTTATTGACTCTGTGTTCATTGGAATGAACTGAGTCATGCATTTCGCATTTTTGTGCTAAATAAATTAAATCAGTAGGCTTGTAATGGCGGCGATGAACAATAAGAAATACCATACTATCGAAAAAAAAACGGTGTCAAATGGGGAATGACAGTTGATAATTATTTTAACGAGATCAAGCCCTAGGTGTCATTTACTTAGCCAGTTGGCCTTAGGAAGGTTGAAATTTATTTTTTATTGAGTAAAAATTATTTTAAATGGTATAGTTTAAAAATTGAGAAAAAAATATATTTTTGGAAATAGATTTATGTGTCTGGTGATGTTTTAATCTCTTTTTTAATATTTCTATAATTAGTGTTAATGTTTGACAAGTTTTATGTCAAATTTTAGTAAATGACGTCTAGAGACTGACCTCGCCAAAATTATCATCGATTTCCATTCCACAGCTGTCTTGTAATATATATTTGTGGCGGGTTAATTACTTGAAAATAGCCTGAGTATTTTCCCACTGAAAGAGAAATTTAAAAAAATATTTTTTTAATAAAGTGCCACTGCATAGAATCCAAACGGACAACAGCTTATCAGTGTCTTTATACACGTAAACAAATTTGTCTAAACAAGAAGAAATATACAGGGTGTGTTTTAAATAAGTGCAAATATTTTCAGGGCTGGTAGATCTCGATAAAAGAAACATATTTTTTCTTTACCGTTTTTCAAATAAGTCTAAAATAACTGAGTTATTTTACTGTGAAAATTTCCCAAAAAAATGATTTTTTGCCAAAATTTTGAGAACCATTATATCTTTTCTGGTTTTTCTTTGTTGTAAATTTAATCTGCTACCTATTTTGCGATATTATAAATTATGTTCTTTAACTAAAAACTAAAAAAAATTCCAAAAATTTAAAAAAAAATTCCAAACTTTAATTTTTTTTTTCGTGAAAAAAACTTCATATCAATGTTTCTGGTTTCTGTTCGAAATATACTACCACTAAAATTATTGGCACTTATTTAAGACTCACCCTGTATAATAAAATTTTTAGTAAAATACAAAATATGTATAGCACATGCAGACATTTTAATCTTTTTGGTCTTGTTATCAAATTAGGTAATCAATTGTCATCAGGTAGTGTTTGTTAATTTGAATTTGTATTTTATCTAGATAATGTCAGTTTCTAAGAATGGCAACGGTTTTAACCATAGACTTAAAATAAAATATAGACTACACTATTTACATCTCAACGCGGTCAAACAATATTTTTTATACACATGTTTACTTCTGGGTACAGTCGACCGAGCCTTCCTCATCCAGCCTATGTTGTCACGTCTTTAATATTATCAATATTTTTTTTTCTTGTTATACACATATATTAAGATATTAATACTACAATTTAATAAAGTAGGTTTTAATATTCCATAGATGTATTAAATAGTCCTTATACTACTAAATTATAAGTCGGATACTGTTTAAAAAGGATAAGTTCTTTACAATATGACAACACCGATTAGAGGCGAGGGAGCCTATTCATTCATTTATTACCTTGTAGTACGCGTCGCACGTGTGCGGTAAAGCTTTGTTGCCGCTATGTCCCCGGCTGTATTAACGCATTTTCTTAGCTTGTAGCCCCTAAGTGTTTATTTTATTGACTTTTTCTGTTTAAGAACTATAAAATATGGTTCGCCAGTGCCAAATTTGCAAGAAATTTGACTTAAATAATCCATTTAAGTCTTGAAACGACTTTCGACCGGTAGGCAACTCTCAATTTACCCATTAGGAGTCAGTAGCGTTGTTGTAGAAAGGCGCTTATTTAGATAATATTTTAGTAAAATGTAAAATCTGAATTTTTTCTCTTACATTACATTATTTACTTACTTACATTGTAACAATATCATAATTATAACCCTGTTAATAATTAATAATGTTTTTATTAAAAATATATTCCGGTTTATTCTAAAATTATCTTCAGAATGAAAAATGACATAAAGAATATTAAAATGATATTACATTATGAAACTATTTTTTAATATACCGGGTCGTCTCAAAAGTGGCTGACCCCCTATAACTTTTTTATTTTTTCAGATAAAAAAAACAGATTTTTATGTTAGTAGGTATATGACATAAATTAGGATTTATTGGACGTATTCAATTGTTTTTGGTCTCTTCCTGTTTCACCAAAATGATTACATCTTTTGATTTTTAAAGGCACCCTCGGTATATTGCTACTTTATTCGATAAAAAATGACACTCTGAATAGAATGACATATCATATGCCAACTTTTGACATTGTCGTTTAAAAACAAATCGTATTTTAAATTTCAATCCAGGGTGCCATGGTGTTGTTAAAAACACTAAGTTTTAATCAAGGGGTCTTGGAAAAATAGTTTTGATCGTCTAATAGGTTTCGTTGAAAGATGTACAAATCGTATTTTTAATCAAACATATGTCAATTTTTTCAAATGGAACAAGGGTGACTCATTAGCATATTTGGAAAAAGCATTTTTTTATGAATATATTGATACCACTCACTTGGTATTTCGAGTCAAATTGTCGTTATGAACCGCGTGTACAATTACAATTAAACCATATGCGAAAATGTCAAAAGTTGACATATGATATGTCATTCTATTCAGAGTGTCATTTTCTATCGAATAAAGTAGAAATATACCGAGGGTGCCGTTTAAAAATTAAAAGTTATAGTAATTTCCGGTGAAACAGGAAGTGACCAAAAACAATTGAATGCGTCAAGCAATCCTAATTTATGTCATATACTAACATACTAAATCTTGTTTTTTTATTTGAAAATATAAAAAAATTATGGGGATGAGCCACTTTTGGGACGCACCCGGTATAATAAAGACAGTACCGAGTTAAATAAATGTACTTTTCATTTTATCCACTTCCTATCACCTTCCTTGCTTTAATGGAACAGATTTATGTTTTCTCTAATTTACATAATAAGACATCACTTAACCAGAAAAAAAAAATACAACAATCATATTTTTTTTCTCCCCCTGTCGCCGATTCTATTATATCTGTGGAATAGATCCTGTTTTGATTAATATTAGGGGTTGCAAATGTTTGACTAAAATTAATAATTTATTATTAATTTTAAAAATTACGTAATTTCGATTATAAAATTTCTTCTATAACGTGTATTTTATTATTTTTATCCTTTTGGACTCTAAGACGTTTTTTTAAACTTTTATTTAAAAAACCTGTCCTAAATCTTAATAAAATATAAAAAAGTTTAAATACGATATATTTTTAATTTAATTATAGCTTCATTAAAATAAAAAAATTACCCGGCTATGATACGGAGAGTTCAGATGTACTTGAGAAACGAAAGACAGTGTTGTGTTTCTCGGCAGAGTCGTCAGGGAACGACCGTTACGACAGAGACAACCTATCTATCGCTCGTGTCGCACTCGTTATAACCTAAAACAATAACACAACAATAACAAGACATTGTCTGACCGCATGTTCCAGCTATTTATGAATGAGATGTTCAGTCTATATTTTATTTTAAGTCTATGGTTTTAACCAAGTTTTAACTTTCCGTTAATCGCTTCTCCTTTTTCTATGTATGTACTCGCGTGGGGTATTTTGATACCCCAGTGAATTTTTGATTAGAAAAACTAAAAATAATAATAATAAATTTGGATATCGTATTAGCAATTATGTGAAATGTAATACATTTGTTTAAATTATAATAATTGCAAACATTCAGAAGCGATCAGAAATTTCAGAATCTGCTTTGTCACCTTTGCTAGGCTACTCTTGATGGATTTTACATATACATTTGCACTTGGGGTAAATAACTGGGTTTTTCCTCTCATGATTTCTAGGACATGAATAACACCTTGTTCTTTTTTTGTTTTGGACATTTTTTGCACATATCGAGCTTTAAATAAAAATTTTAAGCAAACATCAAACTTATTTAATAAAATAGCAATGTTGTTACCGTACAGTATATTCTATAATAATGGATTTAAAAATGTACAGTCCATATATTTTGATTAAATGAGAAGTGGTTGTTAAAATTGACTTGATGGAATGTTAAAGCTCTTTAAGAAGCCAGTTATTTTGATGGTATTCTAATCGCATTTGAACCGTAATATTCACTGAAGCAAAACAAACTCCTAATGCTTCCTGCTGAACGCTGTCATTACTCCACACTGTAACTGTTGATTTTATTTGAGATTTATATTGATTTGCCCTGAAGGAGATTCTTAAAGTTCTTTGATTTCAAGCACTTACGGGTAACATTAACGCAATAATTTGTGGGTTTTGTTTTACGTTATCAATAAATGTTAGTAATAGTAAAATTGTAAAAAATATATTACTAATAAAAATAGAAAAGTTATATTTTTTTAACTTTTAGTCTTTTTTAACTTTTTTAACTTTTAGTATTTTTTTAACAAACTGTATATAAATCTATAAACTTTAAGTCACAAACTTAGTTTTTTTATAAACTTTAGTATTTGGATTATTATTCAGGGTTAATTGAAGGGTTGTTTTTTTTGTCCTAACTTTAGGAAAATGTGCTCACGAAATTATTGCACAGGGTGTTTTAAAGATAAGGTACAAAAAAACTTTTCGATTAAACCTGTATAATAAGTCAAATACTAAAGTTTATAATAAACTGAGTTTACTAATTAAAGTTGATATATTCTTAAATTAACTTTCTTGGAACATTAGGTTCAGAAAACGCTCAATTATGTTTTCATTTTGTTGAAAAATCTTTATTTAGTCTATGAACAAACGTTTCGTAGCCTTCATCAGTGTTATATTATATCACAAAAGAATTGACAAAAATTAATATCCAAAAAAACATACAATCATCACAGCACAATGACATAATATTCACTAAAGTTGGTCAAATAATATAATGTCGTTAAAGAAACAGAAAAATAGTTCACATTTTGTTTTAAATGTCATTTTTAAGCCGATTCACATTTGCCAGCATTGCTTGCCCGTGGCGTATACATAGCCTTATCGTACTGCCAGTACGATACAGCCGCGGGTTTAAGAATATTTCGATACAAGGTTCAAGAACTTGAAATTTCCAGGAGTTGATATATTTATATAGTTTTCTAAAAAAAATCAAGGAAACAGGGCTAAAAATAAAAAATATAACATTTGACGCTAGACCACAAATTTTTCCGATATATTTTTTTGCATCTGAGTGTATTTGTTGTCGTTATATCGTAACACTTTTATGATCATCAGCATCTTATCTTGGTGCAGAGCTAGTACTGGGAATACCCAAATGTATGGTCCTTAGTGCGCTAAAACTTTGGATCAGGGAAAAGCAGAATGTCCACTGGAGAAACAGACAGGGGCACAGGCACAGCAAAGTTTTATCCAAGGGCCTAGCTCTAAAACCACAAATGAACTGCTAATGCTTAAAGTGCGTATGACAACAGGTCCCTTGACAGGACACATGGCTGTAAAGTGTTATCTGAACAAGCTCAATCTGTATCAAGGAAGTCTTTGCTGCAGACTCTGCGATAAAGATTTGGTTTGGTTTGGTTTGGTAAATTTATTTGGGAAAGCTAGTCTAGAACCGGAGGAACTATCCTATCAAGGACCTGCATAAATCAGTGCAGGGCACAGGGATAGGAGAATGGAGATATAGAAAGGGGACAAACACAATAGGCCTCAAAGGTCTCAGTGTCTCCGGCAGAGGACGGCCCCTTTTTATTGAAAAAAAAAACACTTTTATGAGCACCTTGTAAAATAATTAATAAATTATTGTATAAATTTAGGTAGAGTATGACATTTTCTAGACAAACAACATATATTAATGAAAAACATGCATGACTGCTGAAAAATATTCAATTACCTTTCGCACTGCAAGTAATTACACTAAACAGATACCGATTTATTAATAGATAACCTAAAATACTATAAAATAACAATAAAAATATGTTTTCAAACTCACCATGTCATCTTTTTTCTCATCTGACTTTCCTAAATTGATTCTCTTTCTAAAGACAACTGCTACAACACCAATCGTGAAAAATATTGCGCATACAGCTAGAATTGGTATCAAGGCTCCTCCTAGTTCTGGTGACTTTACAGGAGAATCTGTGGGGTCCAGACTATTTGCGTTGGTTTCTTCTTCTGAAACCTACAAAGATAAAAAGGGAACAACTTTAATTCCCCTTCCTAAATTTAACAGTCTAAAATATTATTGAAATACCCGAGGAAATACGAATTTGGTTTTGTTTTCTTAGTTTTAATTGTCTAAATCCCTGCATAATAAATACTAGTTGAATGAATTTATATCAAACCATGCTGGGTGCTAATAAAAGTATCGTTTATAGATTTCTCTTAATAACAATAAAGAATCATTGCTTTTAAAAAATGTCCGTGGACCATACTTTTGTTGACAGCGAGACAATCAAAAATTTTCGATTAATATCGATATATTGATAATCTTACCAGTATTACACATCAAGCAATACTACTCTACTACTCCATACTAATTCATTATAATAAAATTAAATCATAAAAATATTGTAAATATACTCCTGCAGTTTAAGTAAAAAGTTTTGTTCTTAAATATCTACTATACATATTATAAACGCGTGTTCAAATCTTAATTTTGTGGAATACATATCAACATAAAACGAGATATAATTAACGAAATATCGTAACACCAGCTATTTTAGAAACATCTAGGTTTACTTATTTCACTGAGATTTATGAAAAAAGTCCTTTGCCTTGGGTACAGATACCGCCACGTTTTGGGAATAGCTCAAAACGAAACAAAATTGAACGAGGCAACAAGAAAGGCCAAAAAAATCTCTCCACGCCCTCCTCACGGATAGTTATTAGGCGCTTTTAAGAACCGAAAGTAAGTCGAGGCAAACCGAAGTGGGTCAAGACAACTGGAAATAAACCGCAACGCTACAAAGTTGGGCGATGAAATGCGACCTTGACCTGTTTCTAAGAGTTTTCCGCATAGTGGAGAGGATGTTTAATATATTCGGTATGATTTAGTTCTTGTGAGTTGGCAAAATTATATATTTTTTTTGTTACTAAAAATGTTTCGTTTGGTTCCGTTTTTTATAATATGTTTAGTAAGTTTTAAGTGTTAAAAAGCAAAATAAAAACACTAAATCACCACAATACACCAACACACTTTTACTTTTACACTGGACGCGCGTTTCGCTAACCATGTTAGCATCATCAGCAGATGATTATAAACTTATTATATCGTTTCCTCTCTCACGGATACCCCGTATCTACAGAACGGACAGACGTACTGTATATATGAAAATTTTACATGTTACTAGTTAGCATGGTAAATTTTACAATAAAATAATTTAAATTACAGAATACTTTAAAAATAAGTACGCGCCTGCCCGAGGGTTAAAATGGTCATATTTCAATAACTATTCAGTATACCTATATTATGATATAGGCTACTATTATAGATATAATAGTGTTGGAATGTAACTTATAGCCAACAGCAACAAATATTCAACTTAACAAAAAAAATGTTATTGCTATATCATCAAAATGAATACATTCAAATAAAAAAAAACAGCGTCATAGTTTTTTTGAGAATTAAGATCGCGAATATAAGACAATTCACGTAAAGTCCATAATCTACTATAAGATTATATTTATCCAGAATTAATAAACAAACCTTTTCATCTTTTTTCTTATCCTTATCAGCTTCCTTTGACGTAGTCTCGTACAAATTATTGCTGGACCCATCGACACCATTCCCGTCCAACGTCTGGTTCCTTCCAGGCTTCTTCGGTCTATCAGGATATGTTTTCTCCTGGAACCTGGGCCTAGTCGGCATTGGTGGTGGATTGTTCGCTATGTGAGCCGGAGGGTTGTTGTAGTAAGGCAAATCGTCAGGAGGCATGTTGGATGGTTTGCCTGGTGGAGTGTTTTGAGGCCGTGGATTGAAACCTCCAAACGGACTGAACACTCCGGAGTTGGGGAAGGGAGGTCTGTTAACGGGAGGTTTGTATGGTGAGGAGGAGTTGAGGATGTTGACGTAGACCTCGGTTTTGGTGGCGAGGGCGCCGTTGGACATGGTGACGTAGAGATGGAGGTCCTTGCCACCCTGAAAGAAGAATACATTATTGATTTAATATCTATTAATAATAAAATCAGCTAGAATTTGTCCAAGCAGACAAAATGTATTTATTTAGCGCATGGCATTTCGACACCTTGAAAAATAATATGTAATAAACATAAAGGAAATTACAATCATCTAGATATTTTATATATTCTATTGTTTCCGGCATTGCAATCAGGAAATCATAAGGGCGACCTTGGTATGATCAATGGCGACATTCTTCTATTATATGTTTGATGGTTTGGAGATAAAATCAACGACACGACATAAACGTTGATGTTTCACGACAATGTGGTAACAAATCCAATAAATTTCTGCTATATTTTTGTTTTATTTATCTAATTTTGGTTTTGTTTTCAAATTCGGAGACTTTTGCAAAGATCAATAGGTTAAGGTTTTCTTTTCATATTTAGTGGTAAGTTAAAGACAAACAGGTTCATCAGCTACATTATGCTGTGATACCAATCACATGCTGTCAAATTTCCAATGTTATTGATATTCCTTTTGTTACAGTAATAACCTTTCTATAAATTATTTAAAATCTGTTAGGTCAACAAGGTTTATTTTATTTTAGGAGGGCAATTATTCCCTGCTCAGTCTTTATGCTCGTAACCAACGATACCAACGTAAATCAATGTTACGTAAACCAACAATAATTGTTGGTCGCCGAGGATGAATTACTCATCTGCATTGTTAAAATCTCAATTTCTTAAATGAACAGAGAATGATAAAAATACTGGCTGCTATCATCAGATGTACAAATATTTCTTGTTCTTGGTCAAAATGCCACATAGATACTTATTAATAGATCACTACTTCAAAATTCCCAATATCAATATTTAATACTATCTACAGTGCTAGAGAAGTTTTCTCATAGTTGTTTTAGTTTAGTCTTGTTGTAAAAATATTATTGTTGCCGGTTTTAGGTTTGTGTTGTTTTTGTTTCTCGATCTTATGTTTCTATTTTGTCGTGTTGGTCCGAATTCAGCATTTAATAGAGATTATCTTACTAAATACATGTGTTTCTTGTTCTGTCTTTTTTGTAAACTTGACGAATAATAAAACCTCTTATTTTCATTTCTTTGAGAGCAACAACCTTTTAAAGAACAACAACCTTAAATTCAACACTTGGATATCTCTTTCTCAATTAGACTATATTTATTTAATTATTTGTTCTCCAAAACTGGTTCAAATATAAACTCATCTTTATTATACGACTTAAAGACGCCATAGGCCGCTGATTGGGGTGATAGGAGTTTTAGTGTGTATTAAACTTACACATACCCAAGTATTTGTCTTAATAGTTAATCTTAACGGTCAGCTTGCCTAACTAACGAAATTTGCAAGTTTGTAAAGCATTTCTCTATCTCTAAACCATTAAATCATTAGGACTTTAGACTACCAATTCAAATAAAGCAATGAAACCATGAAACCAAAATAAACTAATATATATATATATATATATATATATATATATATATATATATATATATATATATATATATATATATATATATATATATATATATATATATATATATATATATAACCAAAACTAAGAAGAAAATTCTTGGGGATAGCGGTCTAGAGGCAAAAAATTAAACAATTTATTACAAACGCCGAGCTTTCGGAAAATATATTTCCTTTTTCAAGGCTAAAACATCACAAAAGTCAACTGAATATAATATAATATTATATAAACTTACGTGTAAAAAGTTTAATTATAAAAATAGAAAAATATATCAATTTCTATATGGAAGAAAGGAACTAAAATTTTGTATAAAAGTTAAAATCTTCTTAAATATTCATGATTTCTGACATTACTAAAAATTATTTTGACATAGAAAGGTAAATTTAATTATTAATAAAAAAACACGTAAAAAACATATAAGGTTAATCACAAGTTACAAATAAAAATAGAGAAAAAATCAAATTTTAAATATTATTTTTATTTTTAATAAAATGGAGTAAGAAAGATATATTACTAAGATCCTCAATATCTTTTCTTTTATTAATACAATTATCATTAATGTAAATTTCTACCATTTCAAGAAAAAGTCTTTTATTAGTATTAAATTCAGTATCCAAAATTTTTGCATTTTTAAAATCAATATTATGTAGTGTATCAATCACATGTTCTGATAATGCACAACTACGTTTACATAATTTAAAATCACTAATATGTCTATTAATACGTTCTTTAAGAACAGTAGAAGTACTACTATTTCTATATATATATATATATATATATATATATATATATATATATATATATATATATATATATATATATATATATATATATATATATATATATATATATATATATAGCTCAAATCAAATAAACTTTTAGTCACGTGATTAAGCTTGACCGGCACAGCGATGGCCAGTTTTACATATTATCTTTTAATCCAAATTGTTTTAGGGAACAAAAATAAATTAATTATAAATATATAAACAGTTATATTGGTTTTATTGTTATACTGGTTGTACATTTGGCCTTTGTAGACTACCAAAAAGCCTTTGACAGCATCGAAACCTGGTCATTTACAGCTGCATCTCTCCCAACTTATTTACACTGGCACTGGAAAATGTAAAGAAATTAGAATGGGAAAATAGAAGTCTAAACATCAATGGGGTATACCTTAGCCATCATAGGTTCGCAGACGATATTGTCTTGCTGAGCACCGAAATTCAAGAACTGAACACCATGCTAAAGGAGCCAAATGACCAATCCCATAAAATTGGCGTTAAAATGAACTTGGCGAATAGTAAGATAATGAGCAACAATAGCCATAACATTACCGTAGACAACATTGTTATTGAAGACGTAGACCGTTATATACAGGGTGGTCCGGACTGTATTCCGGAAACTTCGGCAGCACATCCTGCAGATAAAAATTAGTAAAAAAGTTCGTATAAATGTATATCATAAAATGCTTAGTTTCGGAGATACAGGGTGTAGAAGTTTTATTTTTATTTCGATTTTTTCCAAATAATTTCTGAAGTAACGTCAATATTTGGATGAAAATTGGTGTCTGGGAGTCTTTTTGACATGAGAAATTTGATTTTGATGTCAATATGACTCCTACTTGTAGAGGGCGCCACCTACATGTGTTTTAACTGTTTTGAAGAGTAATAACTTTTCGTCCAGACCTGTGGAGTGAAAAAATATACATTTTCATGTTTTTTTTACGTAAAAAATGTATCTTGGTAAAAATCGCTACAAGCAACCGTTTTCAAGATATTTAGAATGAAAATAGTCAATACATGTCATTATTGACAAAAAATAAACACGTTGAGTAAATAGTTACTTGACTGAAATAATAAATTTGGGAAATTTTATTTTTTTTAAATTAATCATAAACTTTTCTGTGAAAAAATGATGATAAAACAGTTTCTGTTGAATTTTTGACACGAAAACATTTAAAATTTGTGATTTCAGTCTAATAACTATTTAGTCAACCATGTTTAATTTATATCATTGATGACAGGTATTGATAATTTCGATTCCAAATATCTCGAGAACCATTAGTCGTAGCGATTTTTACCAAGAGACATTTTTTACGTTAAAAACTGCGTAAATGTATATTTTTTCTCGACTCACTAGTTTTATACAGGTACGGACGAAAAGTTATTACTCTTCAAACCAGTTAAAAATATGTTGGTGGCGCCCTCTACAAGTAGGAGTCATATTGACATCAAAATCAAATATCTCGTATCAAAAAACTCCCAGGTGCCAATTTTCATCCGAATATTGACGTTACTTCATAAATTATTTGGAAAAAGTCGAAATAAAAATGAAATTTCTACACCTTGTATTTCCGAAACTAAGCATTTTAGGACCTACATTTATACGACCTTTTTTACTTATTTTTATCTGCAGAATATGCTGCCGAAGTTTCCGGAATACAGTTCGGACCACCCTGTATATTTAGGTAATAAAAAAAAGCTGGGTAAAGAGAACCAAACTACGGAGATCAAACGCAGGATCCATTTGACATGGGTAGCATTTGGAAATATGAGCGATATTTTCAAGGATAAAAAGGTGCCCATCAACCTAAAGAAAATGGCTTACGAGCTGCATTCTACCTGTGCTTACGTATGGCCTAGAGACTGTGGCAATTATTCAAAAAACAGCAGAACAACTACGAGTTGCACAAAGAGCCATGGAAAGTATCATGTTAGGAGTCACCATGAGGGAAAAAATACGGAACACCCACATGTGTCAAAAAAACAAAACTAACAGAGGTAGTTAAAAGAGTGGCAAGTCTGAAGTGGCAATGGATCGGACTATCGGACATGTGGCAAGTCAGGATCCAGACGGATGGCCTCAAAAAGTCATTCTATGGAGACCTAGGGGAACAACAAAAAGTGTGGGCCGACCAAAAAAGAGATGGGTCGATGACGTCAGAACAGCGGCAGGAAGACACTGGGTAAGATCGCAAAGCATGAAAAAACCCTAGAAGCGGCCTCTGTGCAGCACTGGATCGAGCCCGGCTGTGCAAGAAGAATTAGAAGAAACAGATATTATTTACATCAACAAAACTCACCTTTTTAAGAGCACTTAACGGACATAAAGGGCCATTACTATCGATTTCCCGTTCAAAATATTCTAATAAAGTTGCGATGAGTTTTTTACGGTTATTAAGCTATCTTGTACACTTCGCACTAAAAGAGGTTCTAAAAAGAACAATATTCGACTGCAAGGCCTACTGGTAAATTTTTTTAAGTTCAAAGTATCACATATCAACACTATTTATTTAAACCAAAAACTCGTAACTAAAGTGTCAAAACGAATGGCAATGTCAGTAAATAAATAAATAAACGTGGCAACTTGGCATTTTTTACAGCAGAGTTACCACCTGCATCCCCATCGTACCGCCAAAATTCAAAACCAGCTGCCTACTGGACAAACATGCTTGCTTCATCCACGTTACCGTAGATGGAGCTAAGAAGGTTTAGGTAGGGTATATATAATAAAT